AGAAATGCCCAAGGAACCCTGTGGATCACAGCAGTGGCCAAGCTTTCCCAATGCCCTGCTCAAACAAAGGTCAGCAGCAAGGTCTTCAGAGGAGTGTTACAGTGACAGCCACATAACACAGTTGTTGGAGTTGCAGGTGGAAAAGAGCTGGCGATAGAGAGTTTCGTAACATCAGGCAGCTGAATCCATGGCTGGTTTCTGCCTTCAAGTAGTAGTAGGTCAGGTGGGCTAAATCCCATCTTTACTGCCTCTTCTTAGAGCCTTGCTGCAGAAGGGTGGGTGGAAAGATAAGGGCTGTAGTCCCATACAGTCACAGAATTCCTGGGTTGGAAGAGACCCTCGAGATCATCAAGTCCAACCCTTGATCCAAGCCCACTGTGATTACCAGATCATGGCAATCAGTGCCACATCCAGCCTCGTCTTAAAAACCTCCAGGGATGCTGAATCCACCACCTCTCTGGGCAGGCCATTCCAATGCCTGATCACACTCTCTGTGAAGAAGAGTGATCATTTTTTCTAATACCCAACCTAAACCTCCCCTGGCAGAGGGGAGGTTGTTATACCCCATTTGGGGTATAGTGATTCCCCATCTAAACTCTGCACCAGAATCTGCCTCCTGTGTATTGTGTGCTGCCCAGCTGAGATATCTATGGATAAAATTCTTGATTATACATAAAAATCTTAGTACAATTAATTAAATGATTAGTCATTTATGTCTTAGTATTATCCTCTGGTTTTACCTGATAGTATCTTCTCACAGCCTGTTCTATTCTCTCTTCCCCCATATTAGCAGTGACCTCAGTGAAGAAATAACTTTTTGAGCATGTGGTTCAGGTAGTTATTTGCTTCACTGGTATTTGCTAATTTGAAATGTTTTGGAGTGCTTATATAATAATGCAACTCTGTCATGGCATTTTCAGTGACAACATTGATTTCCTCAAGCTGCCTTTCCAAAACACTTAAGTGCATCAATATGGTTGTCTGTATAATTTCAGTTTAATTACAGCAGTGGCTGTACTCATTATGGGAGAAGCACAAACTTTCCCACTGTCTCCTTTCCCCTTCCCTTTGTGATGCACCTCCATGCTTGGTTTTTATTTACTTAAATAAGGATTGAGACGTGAGAGGGTAACCATCCCCTGCCCCTGACCCAGGAGGACAGGCTGAAGGAAGGACTCAGGGAGGAACTGAACCTCCCAGAATTGCTGAGGTTACAGAGACAATCTCTGCTCTCTGTGTGCAGGAAATGAGATGTTAATCTTTTCCCAGTGCTGCTTTGCAAAAGGTCCATTCCAGAGAGCTGTGTTTGTTTCGATTTCTCTAATTACTGATAGTGTGCTGATTATGCTGCTGTAGATCTGACATGAATTGCTCTATTAATGGGATAAAAAATGAGATGTCTGCTGTGGAAATTAAGAAGATGATGGCAACTGGGGGAAAGAAGTGGAGATCTTAATACGTGATGTGGTGCTGCAGAGCTGTAGTTTGCTTTTCCTGGAGCCTGAGCCTTTCTCCCTGGCAGCAGGTGGAGTATGCAAGCTCTAACATTGACAAATGTGGGGACTTTGGTCATAGAGTGTGTTAGGGGCTCTGATTTCCTCCTGTTCCTTGTTAGGCCTTTTTAAGTCATCTCATAATGGCCTTTTGGACTTTCATGTTCAGCTCTAGTGTTGCATGCTGGTGAACACTGCATGTGTCTTCCTTCCCTTTCTGCTTCCCCTCGCGTGCTTCCCTAATGATTAACTTCCTTGGCTCTGCTGTTGTCCCCTGTGCTGCTCTGGGGCTGGCTTGCTGGCACTGCCCTGCTGAGTGCCTGGATGTTCAGGGCCTTCTGAATCTCTCCTGCAAACCCCTCATTTCCTCCCAACAACCCTTTTCTCTGTTTCTTCTCCTCTGTCCTACTCAAGACACTCTGGGAAGGATCCACAGCAGGAAAACCAGACCCCGTGAGCTCCCACCCAGCATCCTGGGGGACAAATGTGTCAGCTTTCACTCCTGGTTACTTTGTGCCTGTGTAGTGTCATTACATGCAGTGGAGGAGTAAGTTGGCCCCAAGGAGGGCCTCCCTAAAAGTTGACTTGATGCATCTGTTCAGTTATTGTAGTCAAGGTGAAATTTCATGGGGAAACTTCCCTGACACTGCGAGCTGAAGAAACCAAAGAAATAAAAATAATGAATCCAAATCAATAAAAATGATGATTACAATCAATATATGCAAGCTGTTTTATCCACTTCTTTGTGGCTATTGACAAAATACTAGGGAGCTGCTGTTTTGAAATTGCTGGTTGTTCGGGGCTGAGCACTTGGTCACTTGTAGGTTTAAATGTTTATAGAGTCCCCTGGCAGATGGCAAATATGGAATGTGGTAATACCAAGTGCTTTCCTAGCACTCATCACCAAAAATCTCAAAGGATCACGCAAAGTGTGTATTGATTTAGTTTCTTTTGCCAGTAGATTAAGCTCCAGCAGGGGTGTTTGCCCAGGTACACACAAGGTTCGTGCCGGTTCTACCAGCACTGCCTCTCCTTCCTCCCAAGCTGTGGCTTGAACAACTCTACCATTCTTGGCCTTAATACAAAGAGAAATATTAAACTGACTAGTTAGGAAGCTCTTTCAGAGAAGTTCTTAGTAGCAGAGTATCTGGTGGCATAACCTTAGAAGCAGGAGACGCCAGCCATGGTTGTTTGATGGATCCCACAGAGAGATGCACTGGGCAGTTCTGGAGTCGGGAAGATTAATGCACATCTGTTCTCACTGGTGTGAACACAACAGTTAACTCCTGGAAATACGACTCTCAGAAGCCTCAAAAACCTGGAGGAGCACATGTGACTGTGCCTGGGCAGGCTGGGAGTTGTGTGTGGCTGAAGCACAGAGGGAGATTGCAGAATCAGACTGATCTTTGCCGTTCTGCTCCCAGCCCCGTTACTGCCCCGTGCCGCAAACAGCTCATTTTGTCCACAAGGTGCCCTGACCTCCCTGTGCCGTTACCATTCCACACCTTTTGGAAAGCTGTCCAGGACAGTTACAAGGGCAGCTCTTTCAGCATGCAGTTGTTGAATGCATTGCTCTCGAGAGGCACATGCTTGTTCTTTTTCAAGGCAGCTTAGTGCCGAAATTACTCAGCTCATTTGAGCTTTGCACTTGCTGGAACTCAGCTTGTCCATGTGTCTAATAAAAAGAAAAAGACTTCTACCTAATGTCTGTAAATTGCTTTGATATTTAGGCAAAAGGTGCTGGGGAAAAAAATGCTAGATTAGTAAGAGAGGGCATTTCAAAGGCACTAACAGAAGTTGGAGAGCTGACTCCCCTTTGTGCCTCGTGAAATGTGTTCTGCAAATACTACTAACTCACATTACTGGGAACATCCAAGGTGTGTGGAAAAAGTAAGCATTTCCATATCTTTGGTTTTTGACTGTCCTGTTCCTTAGAACACTAGGAAACAGTTAATCTGATGCATTTGTTTATAACAGTAAATCTCAGTGAAACTGTCACGGTATAAATCAAGGTATGGGCCTTTAGGAGGTTGGTCAGGAAAGGCAGCAGGTACTGGAAGCATAATATCCCAACTTGATCCAGTGCCTCCTGGATGCTGAGGGAAGTGCTCGGGTTCTCGATTTAATTTCATTTACTGTTTTCACTTTCCACCTGCTGTTGGCCCTTTGAAGCCAATTAGCCTGTCTTTGAAGTGATGATTCCTTATTTCTGTGAGCATAAAATGGCCCCAATACAGGACTGTATCCTGCAAGGTACTGGTGCTGTGCTCTCGGGTCAGAAAGATCATAAGATTGAACAATTTCTGGTTAAAAAGTCCTGAGCTGAAAGCCACAGAGGCTGTCCTGTAAATGCTCAGAAATTAAGGTGGTTCCTTCTGCTCCTGTGCATGGGGGGGATGTAAATCCATACCCTTTGCACTGCTGTTGTTAAATTTCAGTGGCATGGTTTTGGAGAATAACATGAATTGCCTTTCAGGGATCATATGATAATTTTTTTTTTAATGTTCCTGTGAAATTGTGATTGTGTTTATTTACAAAGGGTATAATTTGTGCTGTGATTGGAGTACAGGCTTAGAATATGGAAGAATTTTCCCATCAGATCTCATGAAGTTTCAGTCTTCGATTTCTTGTCAGGCGCTTTTGTAAATAAAAACCTGTGATAATTATGAAACTAATGCAACATTCACAAATTGCCCTTTAACTCTGTGTGACCCTGAGATTAGTTCAGTTGGTTAAATCTTGATGGTAATAATGCCAAGGTCATGGTTTGAATCCCCTGTATGGGCTGTTCACTTAAGAGTTGGACTTCATAATGCTTGTGGGTCCCTTCCAACTCAGAATATTCTGTGATATTTGCTTCTGTGACTGTCCTTGCATAGCTGCTCTCTGTATGCCAACTTACTTATTTGGTTGCAAGTCAAATTACTTCAAAGAAGATAATAGGAACTAGTTTAGGCAAAAACAGAAGTATTACGTTACTTGATGTATTTTGTAGTGATATCTTTTTCTGCAGCAAAGACAAAAGTAATTGATTGATGTCTTTAAAATGCTAGGAAGGAATACTGTTAAATGCATAACAAAGTTGTTTAGTTCATAACTGATTTGTTAGTGTAAGATTAGGTGGTTTTGGCACTTCAGGGGTATTCTGGAGTTGCTGTCTGATTTTCACTGACATAAAAAACCCTCGGAGTCTCCCCTCTTATGGGTCACTTCCCTCTCCCGCCTTGGCAAATTTCCGAGAAGCACCTTGGAAACTTCCTGGACCTTTTGAAAATTCGAGCCGTGGCCCCAGAAGCTGTTTGGCCCCTGGCTGAAGGGCTGGGCAGCACACAGCCTGTGTGCTGTGCTCTGTGGTCCCCTGGGCAGCCCGGTGCATCCCTGGTGCTGCTCACCATCCCCTTCCTTCCTTCCACCCATTCCTCCCTCCCCTGCCTTGGTTTCACACCTCCATTCCAAAGTTCACGTTGTCCCCTCTCTCTTCTCCCCCCTCCTTTTTCTTTTCAACAGCAGGAGAGAATTTCGTACACCCCTCCAGTGAGCCCGGCACCGAATTACACCTCGTCCCCAATCCATGTGCCAGTGCCTCAAGCCATCAGGATGGAGGAGGACGCGGTCAGACTGCCAGCACACCTGCGTGAGTGTCAGCACTGAGGCTTCTTGGAGGGGGCAGGGCGGGCTGAGGACTTATTTCTGGTTTTGTGGAAGACAGCAGGGAAGTCCCTGGCTTTATGCTTATTTTTTTTTTTTTTCTAAGCTCTAGCTGGTTTGGTTTTCCTAGCTACTGTCTTTAGCTAAAGGGAATTACTCTTAAATCCAGCACATTGTATCTCCCCCTCTCCTCCCCTTGCCAAGCGCTTGGCCTGTCATTTCTCAGCGACAGGCACGAGCGTGGAGGGTTTATTTTGACAGGAAGTGCTGTGTTTCTTCCACTTTGGAGGAGTTGCTTGGTTATGTGCTGCGACACAAGGTCAGCTTCACAAGCTGTGGCAAGTGGAATGTGTTTGTGCTCTGGGCATTTTTTAGGTTCTCAAATACTCAGGGTGCCCAGAGCCTCTGGTGTAGAGCATGAGGGCTGACAGAGGCAGTGGGAAAGGAGGAAGAGTGAGCTTAGCTGGGCACAAAAGGATGCTGTGAACGAGGAAGGACATATCGCTCCCATTGAAACAAAAACTGGAGCTGGGGGCAAGGTGAGAGCCACGTACTTCCTTGCTGAGATGATTTAATGTTTGAGAAATAGTAAAGGCCAAGGACTGCTGGCAAGTGAGAGGTGAATTAGGGAGATAGGACCCGGACAAGAAGAGTGGAATTTTCCTGTTTGGAGGAGAGGCAGTCCTAATGCAAATAGAAATGCTTTAAGTAAACTTTTTTTTTCAGGTGTTACGTTCCTGAGTTACTCGAGCAATAGTGAGCAAGAGGGCCAGGAGCAAGCCAAACTTTGTGTTTTGCCAACTGGGAAATGGGTTTGGGATTTCGGGGGGGCGGGGGAGTAAAGTCCATGTTTATCACAAGACGTTCTTATTGCTGTCTTACACACACACACACTCTTTTTCTGGATGAAAACTGTGTTTCAAGCATTTCTGTAGTCTGTGCTCTCTTCCCTTGCTGGCCACCGAGTTACTCTGCCCCGAGATGATTTGTTGCCGGTGCTGCATCCTGCATGGTCCTGCACAGCCCAGGTTATACCTTTGCTCTGCTTTCAGACAGGAATGGGACATTTCTGACCCTGTCTGGCCACTGCCTGAGTATCCATGAGCTCCCAGGCCTGGCTGGTCTGGCACATCCATGTGGCTGCTGAGCTGTTTCTCTAGGCCAGGGAGGACTTAATGCCACACTGACAGGGCATTTCTATGCTTTGCCCAAAACTTAAACGCAGAACACTCCCCCAACACAGAAACAGTTCTCCAGCAGCTCTTTTCCCCACGGGTGCTGTTAATTCCCAGAGCTTTTCCTCATTGCATTAGTTGTTACTGTTTACTTCTGCTGTGGGAACCCCTTTCTGTCCCCTCCACTCTGATCACAGTTGCTTTTTGTACTCCCTGCTGTGTGTGGCAGATGTGTAAGGCAGCAAGGCAGAGACCCCTGATACTGAAAGTGGTGGTTTGTTTTACCTGCTTCCCTCACATCAGCTAGCCAGCATGCTGGGTGATGTAGAGCTTATAAGGCTTCATCTCAGTGAAGACTTTTTAGCCAGTATTTTTAGGTGTGTTATTTTTTTTCACCGTGATTTTTGTTTTGGTTTTCCTGTCCTTTCGGTTGGCACATTTTTTAAAAACTTGCAAGGCTTCTTTCTCATTAGTGTTTCCACATCAGTCTGACTTGTTGCAGGGTAAAAGCACAGATGATTAATCATGAAATATCTGTGAAATAGCCTTCTGTATAGTTAGTGTCTGAGACCATAAACAACATGGAACACATTTACATAGCCTTACTAGTTGTAGTCTGTGGCAATGTAGTATTTTGCAGCTCAGTGTGCAGTCAGTATTGACACAGAACGTTGTCATCAGCCAACAGAGCCAAACACTATTAAAACCACTGGTTTTCAAGTACACAGATTCATAGCTAGGCCAGCAGCGACCATTCTGAATTCCTAAAATGATCTCCAGTATAACTTCAGTTGCAGAACTTCGTGCAGTAGCTGCTGTGTTTGAGTCCAGCCACTGAGCCACAACAGGTGCAGAAAGATTTCTGCTCTTTATGTAAAAGACTTAAGCGATGGGGAGGATATAAGGTCTCTAGATGTTCTTTCAACGCTTAATTATCCTCCTTATTTGCTTTTTTTAAGTGCCCTATTTATAGTTTGAATTAGTCAAGCTTCAGTTTCCAACTATTAGATCTCATTATCTCCTTTCCTGCTAAATATTATCAAAAGACTACTGCTGATATAGGTGCTTTTAGATAGTCACTTCTTAACCTTTTCTCGGCTCAACTGGATAGGAAGAGAGGTTTTTAAAGCTGTCAATCTTCCTGTCGAGCTTCCAGATTTTAAATTCTGTTTGCATCGCCTCTGTGAACCATTTTCCACTTCAGACATCCTTCTTAAAGGATGATATTCCAGAGTAGTGTTCCTGATACCACGTGTAGAAATAACGAGTAGAAAAATTTCCTGTGGTGCAATAAATTACTTCTCGTTGTTTGGTGTGAGCAAATGGGTCTCAGGTATGCTGAGCTGATTTTATCCAGAGACTGGGAAATGGAGAGGTGTGAAATTTAGAAGAGTAGAATGCAGATCCCTCTTTACTGCAGCCTTGCACAGGAGGACTCCTCTTTGGCCAACACAGCTAGATTAGGTAGGCAAACCCCTTTTTCTGGGCGTGGTATGAAGGCACCTTTTCCTTGATTGAAGAGAAAAGCAAGTTTGGCTCTCACACAAGGCTCTGCCCTCGGTGCCTTCTGTGATCTTGGACGTCTTGTTTTAGCTTCCTCACTGTAAAATTAAAAAAAACCATGAGTGCAAAGACTCTTAAATGTTTAGAAAACTAGTCAAGAAACTGCCCAGGTGTTGTGACAATGAAGATAGGTGGAAGTCCTCTGAAAATATTTGCATGCCCCTTATCTCTGAGGATGCACTTAACACTGCCACAGAGAGAGTTGGTGGGTGTTTTGATGGGGTTTGTATTTTTTTTTGCTCTATTTTTATTAAAGCAAATCTCTTTGCCTCATCTGGTAAAATGTCATTAGTTGCTTATTTTCTGCCACAGCTGATACTTTGTAGTAAAAAGTCCTTGGAACTCCATAGAGGATAGAGCATTTAAGAGATGGACATGAGAGCCCTTCCCTGTGTCTATTAATACTCTCCGAATCAGAGAGAAAATAGCTTTTTCCTTTTTTGTGATACACAAGATTAAAATAAGGTGGTTTGCCTTCCATAACAGCAGCTGTAAATATGTGCTAGAGGCTTTGTGGTTTTCTTTTGTCACCTTCAACAAAAGATACAAAAGCAATATCAGTGCAAAGAAAGGACATGTTGCATGCTCTGATTCTGTGCAGAGCGTTCCCCCTTGCACGTGTCTGCTGATTTGTGTGTTTGATTTGTATCAGAAGGACAGAAGGGAAATTTGTTTGGTTTTCTGCCATGATTATATTAAAGGCTTTAAGTTTTCAGTGAGTGTTTCATAGGACTCTTCCTACGTGTCTATTTGTAGTATTATTTGATACTCTGATTTGGTGGGAACTGTGTTGCTTTGGCATCTTTGTGACCCTACTTCTGTACCACACACTGAAAAAAAGTTGTCTGTCCCAACTGGGGACATGAGTAGTAGGGTAGGACAGGTAGTTGGGCTCTCAGTTGGGCTCTTCCTTTAAACTAAGGCATTTATAATACCTGAAAGCAGTTTATTAACAGCTTCTTTCTCTTGATCACGCTTTGGTGCTTATTTGTATCGTTTGTGGGGTTTGTGTTTTAAGGGCACCAGTTGTTTTCTTTTTATTATTATAATTATTAAAAGAATGCAGGAAACAAGAGGAAGGGGAAGCAACAACTCTCTCAGGTTTGCCAAGGATCCATTTTTCTCCTGTAAAATGTCTATAAATTATGCTGCTCCCTTTATTAATCCTTTGTCACCTGTTGATTATTCTACAGTTTTGGTTAGCAGATGGAAAACTACTTCGAAGCATTAGGCATATTGTTATTTAGTGGCTAGAATATTCAGTGCACTGAACTGAAAGTATGTAGTGAGATGGGAAAAAAAGCCCTTCACCCTAAGCCACATTTAGAGCAGAAAGCAATAAAAATGTTTGCTTTGGAAGGATCTTTCTGGAACAAAACTGACTGACGCACATACTGGGAAAATAAAATAAAGTTTCGTATGACAAAGGTTCTGAGAGGTGGCCAGAATGTCAAATTAGTGACTCTGAGAATAATCCTGGTCCCACTGAAATGAGTGCTTAAATCCCCACTGAGTTTAGTGGGACCTGGACTGGCCTCTTTCTGAAATGTTTGGCTCCTTCTAGACCCCTCTTTGCTCTTCTCTGACATTATTACCCTCATTCCCCCCTCTTAATGTGCTTGCCTTTCCTCCTAATCTCCTTTTCACCCTGTACATCATTCTCTTTCTGGGTAGCTTGTCCTCTGCTAATCAATACCAACCCACTACTAAAAAAAAAATAAAATTATTAGGTGATTTTACAAACAGGGAACTTGGAGGGGTGGGAAGCCCAGTCTTAGAGTCACTCTTGTGCCATGGCTGGGCAGTTTTTTCATCTGGAATATATTGGACTGGGCAGAGTAAAACCCCATTGCTGATCCAGCTGGGAAGGCTGTGGCCTTTGGATCGTGAAGATCCTGCTTTGCACATTTCTGGCACGGTCTTTGTTCATCACCTGTAGGAAACTAAAGCCCCTTGTCCCTGGGGTTGCACTGGAATGACACAGGGCCGCTTCACTTGCCACCTCTGATGTAAACAGCTGGTGAGTTGAACCCTAAATCTGTTAGCTCCAGAGTGCTGCCTGGTCACAGTGGCAGAAGCATCGAGGTTAAGCGTGGAAAAAACTTGTGAAGGGAGCTCACTGGATGGTTTCTGTTTCTTGGGAGATTATTCTAGAGCCGAGTGCTTTTTATTTTTTAAATATGCCTGGTTGCTGCCCAGGGTTGACAGCAGTTTCCTGCACCGACAGTCCTAGTGGAAGCTTGTGGAG